GCAGGTCGAGGCTGCGGTGGCCGGGAGCGGCCACTGCACTCCAGTCTGGGCGACAGAGTGAGACTCTTAACTCCAAAAAAAAAAGGAAAGAAATATGTATTATCTTGAAATAAGTATTTTATTTTTCTTCTTTTTTTTTTTGAGTCGATGTCTCACCCTGTTTCCCAGGCTGGAGTACAGTGGCACACTCACAGCCACCGCGTTCTCGACCTGCTGGACTCAGGCGATCATTCTGCCTCAGCCTTCCAATTAGCTGGAACTACAGACACACGCCACCATACCCAGCTAATTTTTTATTTATTGTAGAGACAAGGTCTCACCATGTTGCCCAGGCTGGTCTAGAACCTGTGGGCTCAGACAATCCTCTCACCTCAGCCCCCCAAAGTGCTGGGATTACAAGCGTGAGCCACCGTGCCCAGCTTTGTATTTTCTTTAAAACTTGTTCCTGGACTTGCTTTATCACGTGTCTGTCCATTTACCTATCCTGCCCATCTGTCAGTCCATCTTATTTTATGCTTTCCAGGCTAAATTACTGATATCAGGCTTCCCCTTTAACACTTCAGCATGCATATTAATTATAGTTCAATATTTGTGTAACAGTTTTTTACTTGAGGTAAAATTTACAAAGCAGAAATCTCCATATGCATTTGCTAAGTTTTCACAAGTGCATTCATTGATGGGTGCCTGGCCTGTTCCTACTTTTCTGTTATGACTAAAGCTAGGAGAAATAAAAGAAACTTTCACCTGAGGAATGTGAGAACCTTCTCCAAAATCAGGCCCAGAGAGGCACGAATGTGTGATCAGAGTTACATCTCACTTTTCTTGGGCTGAGGAGTCATCTCTTGAAACTGCTTGCTGTTACCACAAACTAAAAATTAACCTAACAATACTGCTCTCTGAACTCCAGAACTCGTCTTGCCAATCACATTGGTACAGAAATCGGTGTTATTTCCATAAACCTGCAAGAATTCCTAACAAACTACTTTGTATCAGCCCACTCCCGTTCCCCCCTTTTGCCTTTAAGAACCTCGTAACGAGCCAAAAGAAGCTCTTGTCCAAAGTAATCTTCCTCACCCTGACTCTTAAAATTATATTTTGTGCCTCAGTTTCTTTCTTTAGGTTGAGAACTGCTGTGAACATTCTTATACAAATGTTTCTTTAGCTGTATGGTTTCATTTCTCTTGCAAAAATACTTTCCAGTGGAATTGTTAGGCTATAAAAAGTATATGTTAGTTTTATGAAGCTGCCAGACCGTCTTGTACTTCCACCAACAGTGTACGAGTCCTCTGGTTGCCCCCATCCTTGCTGACATTATGTGTTGTTGGTCTTTCTAATTTTAGCCGTTCTGAAGGCTATGTGATGGTTTAATTGCATTGCAGTTGACTATTGCAAACCTTTCTTCTGCACTTGACACTAAGCCCTGTGAAAACCAGGATGATCAACGGTACCCCTCTGGTGCCTGTCACTGTTCTTTCAGTGCCATAGGTGTGGAATAAACAGGAAATGAGGCAGTGACTGCATGTTTTAATGATTTGGGGAATTTGACATACAAAAAATATTCAAGCCATAAAAATATGTATAGGTAAACTTGACCAGAAAGGCTGTTGAATAGTTATATAGTTTGAATTAAGAATTGTCCGTAGCCGGGCTCGGTGCCTCAGCCTGTAAAAAAAAAAAAAAAAATTAAGAATTGTCCCTTTTAGAAGAATGTGTTTACACTGCCAGTTTTTCATAGGTACAGAAGATGCAAAACGTGTACCTGGCTCCAGAGACAGATGAAGATGATCTTTATTCTGGTTATAACGACTACAACCCCACCTATGATACTGAGGTAAAAAAAAAAATCGAGTTGTTTTCCTTTTACATTGACCTGTGTTAACCAGCTGACTTAGGACAGCTTTGGACTTGAGGGCTATGCTTTATTGTGCTTTAGGTTGGGGGACTAAACTCTGGCCTTTTTCTACTCTTTGCCCACTTTCTAACTAAGGGGCCTAGGGAGTAATTCCCTACAAACCATAAAGTCTCATCAGGCAGCTTTTTATCAACCCCATACAACGGGGCCGGCATGCCAGCTTGACTCTGGCCAGCCTGACTCTGGTGTGACGTCATGGAACAGATACAGGGGGAAATTAAAAATATCTTCTGGCCCTGCACAGCCTTTCTTGAAACTCGCATCTATGTAAAATCCCTTTCCCACGAATTCCTGAAGACCAGACGTCTTGGGGTCTCACTCTGTTGTCTAGACTGGAGTATAGTGGGAGGAACATGGCTCACTGTAACTTCAAGCTCTTGGGCTCAAGTAGCCCTCCCTCCTCAGCCTCCTGAGTAGCTGGTGCTACAGATGCGTACCACCATGCCTGGCTAATGGTTTTGATTTTTTGCAGAGATGAAGTCTTGCAGCGTTGCCTAGCCTGACAGGCACCTATTTAGACACTCACCACCTATTCTCTCTGAAGCTTCCTGCTTAGACCTCATCTACATATGAGGAACCATAACTTCCTCAATCCCTCTCCCTTATTTTAACTCAGTTTTTCTGCTCCTGATTTCAAATTCTTTAGACAGAGCCTAACTCTTTCTACCAGTTGTCAATCAGAAAATCTGACTCGACCTCTAAACTGCACACCCCTGCTTGGAGATGTCCTGCCTTCCTGGTTCACCCAGTATTAATCTCCCATGTATTGATTTGTGTTTTGCCTGTAACTTCTGTCTCCCTACACATTTATAAAACCAAGCTGTAACTCAGCCATCGGAGGCACAAGTTCTCAGGACCAGATTTGCCAGAGTAGAAGTATAGTAAATTATGTTGAAGGTGGCATTGGCTTTATACATCATACAGCAGTTTCTGGTGCCTGTGGCTAACTGGGAGTTGGGCACTTATTTAATTTTATGTAGTTGATATAAAAGTTATAAGGTAAAGTGAAAATTAAAGAAGATGCTTGTATGTAATAAAATTGTGTTTTCAAGTGCACTATATTAATATCTTAGTTACATAAATGTTTTACTTGGATACTCTGCAAATTTTAGATAGTGAATTTTTTATGTGTTATGTATTTATTTTCTATATAATTGACACATGTTATATTTATTTTCTATATACTTGACACATGTATCTCTGTGGCGAGTAGATTGAAACAAACTAGAAGCGAGCAGGGATTGCGTGTAAAGTGTGCCTGCAATTTGGGACCCAGGCATGTGTTGGGAAGGAGAAGTAGAAAGTCGAGGCGGGTAGGAGATAGTGGTGGGCAAGACCGGGTGCTTCTGAGAGACCAAGACGACGTCTTGTCCAGGAGGCCCAGGCATGATTCTGCCCTTGACTAATGTTCTTTTCCTCAAACTTCCTTAGGGAGAATGTAAGTGCAGGCTGGGAATCAGCAAAGTGAAATCACCCTGGGACATTGATTCCAATTGCCACGCAGTTGGACTTGGAGTTTTGCCCAGAATAGCTCCCGACTGAGTCTCAGACTTGACCTCTCAGTGAGTTGAAAGTCATTTTCATTGGAGCAAACGGAAATGAAACAAGATACAGTACCCCACTGCTTGTAGAAAATGTTATTCTGTCCTGCAGCTTCCTCAGGTGGGGTCCGTTGTGGTCCCAGCATAAGGGACAAGAGGAGCGGAGAGACAAGGGGGTGGCGAACTGGGGAAAGAGAGATGTGAATCTCATTCTTACCATTCTGGCCACTAGGAAGAAAGGAATAGAAGAAAACCTCTGTCCTTGTGTAGTTGGTCTTGTCACCAGGCACTATGATGCTAGCCCCTTCAACTGTGGCCAGTAGAATGTCCTTAGAATTGACTGATGCAATTCTATGCAACCCTCCTCTTCCTGGGAGAGGAAGTAACCTTGACATTTTGGGTATCGTGAAGGGGAAGATGTGAGGACAAGATTCCTTTTGTCCCTACCCAGATGTTAACAGTTGGGTAAGATGAATCATAGAGCACCTTGGATACCAGGTGCAAGTTTATGCTTATTTCCCCCCCAGTTCTCACATCATGTTGAATGTTAAATTTGCCTTTTCATTTTAGGAATTGGAGAATGACACAGCTTTTCAGCAAGCTGTGAGAACTAGTCATGGCAGAAGACCTCTAGTAAGTGAAAATATTTTTTTTAATTTTGGTAACAGCCGCACACGATTTGCCATCCTAACCATTTGTTACTTGTGTAGTTCAAGGATGTGACGTTCACATGACTGGGAAACAGATCTTCAGAGCTCTTTCATCTTGCAGATCTGGCACTGTATCCGTGGAACAAAAACTCTCATTTTCTCTGGTCTCCACAACCCCCGTAACCACTGTCTAGACCCCTGTAGCCAATGTCTGCTTTCTAGTGGTGTGAGTCTGCCTATGTGGGATACCTCACATGAGTGGAATCTCAAGAGACTTCTTCTGTGCCTGGCTTATTTCACTCAACATCATGTCCTCAGGATTCATCCATGCTGTAGCATGGGTCAGACTCCCCCTCCTTTTCACGTCCTGAATCCACGCTTTGTTTACCACCCGTCTGTCACCGGATACTTGTCTATTTCCACTAGGAACTGGTGGAGTTCTCTCTTCTGGATAGTAACGTCTTATCAGATATATGATTCTCAAGTATTTTGTTTCATCCTTGGCCGCCTGTCATGTATTGATTGTGTCCTGTGAGAAACCAAAGTGTTTTAGTTTGGAGTAGTCCCAGTTGTCTATTTTTGCTTTGTTGCTGGTGCCCTTGGTGTCACATTCAAGAAATCATTGCTAAGACCGATGTCATGAAGCTTTCGCCCCATGTTTTCCTCTAGCAGTTTTATGGTTTTAGATTTTACACTGGGTCTCTAATCCATTTTCAGTTCATTTTTGTGTTGGTGTGATCAGAGTCCAGCTTCATGCATTCTTTTGCACGTGGATAACTGGTTTTCCCAGCACTCTTTGTTGTACAGACTGTTCCTTCCCTGTTGAATGGTCTTGGCACCCTTGTCGAAGAGCTTTTGACCATATATGCAAAAGTTTATTTCTGTGCTTTCTGTTCTGTTCCTTTAGTCTATATGTCTGTCTTTATACCAATGCCACACTGTTTTGATTGCTGAAGCTTTATAATGTTTTAAAATCAGAAAGTGTGAGCCCTTCAACTTTGTTGTTCTTTTCAAAGTTGTTTTACCTATTCATGTCCCTTGATATTCCATATGAACTTTAGGATGACTCTATTTCTGCAAAAAATGACGTTGGGATTTTGACAGGGATTGCATTGAATGTGTAGATTACTTTGGGTAGTAAGGACATCTAGCAATACTGTCTTTCAATCTACTAACATGAGATGTCTTTCCATTTATTTGTTTGAAATTATGTAATGTCTTTCTGCAGCATTTTGTAGTTTTCAGTGTATCTAGTAAGTGAATTTTAAAGTAGTTTAGATCAAAAGATTTCTTTATGTACTTGAAAAATAAATATTATTATTTATATAAGACATTGGAATATGTTTGCCTAAAACATTCCTTATTTTAAAAAATTTGCCTTTTTAATTAATAAAAGATATGTGGGGTCAGCCAGGCTCGGTGGCTCAGCCTGTAATCCCATGCCTTTGGGAGGCTGAGGTGAGTGGATTGCCTGAGACCACGGGTTCGAGACCCACCTGG